GTCTATCTTATGTTATCAGTAATCAGTGAGGTTTTCCCCTCTAAAAGTGATATCTGTCTCAAAAAATCCAGATTAGTCGGGCTCTAGACTTCACCACCACTGCCATACACTTCAAATGTAGGACAGTATTGTAAAGGACACAAAGAAACAAGAATAAGAGTCGATGTAGTCGAATTTATCATCAACAAGCAGGAGGAGTGTGCGAGTAATGTCTACGCCTGTCAGTGTGTTTGTATTGCAATACCTGTTCTGAACATCTTAAATCCTGCCTTTGACAAACACCTCCATATAATAATAAAAATAAATAATATTGAAACTAAAACAGTTTTAAACAGTAAAAACTAAACTTAAACAAACTAACTCTGGAAACAAATTAAAACCAAACTGAACACAATAAACTTCACGTATAGTAATTTGCTTGTGGAAAATAAAACATAGTCCTGAAATGAAAACCAGCGCTGCAATGATGCTGAAATTACAAAAAAAAAAAACATCAACAACATGTAATCACTCATACTGTACAGTACTGAGGGTTGTAGTCCTCCCTCTCTCTTTTGGCCACAAGTTCTCATCAACATCACATCTTATGTCTCTACTGGGGTGTCTAATCCAGCCGCGGCAGTCTTAAGGAGAAGTGTCTAAAAACAGGAGTCCCGGGTAGGCTTTCAGCTCACATTGCAATCAGCTGTGTTTGTTAATAATTAATTTTATTGTTAATATTCTGCTGCAGATTTCCTATATCTGTATGGTTACTTGGTTGTTTGCCATCATTCTGTTTTGAATGTGTTTTTTAACCATTTTGAAAACTGTGTTTGGATTTGCTGCAGTCGCGTAGTGTTTTGCAGGTGGTGGAATATGAATGAGAAGAGAGTCTGATCAATGCATGTTAGTAATAAAAGTAATGAATAAATTAGTTATCAATAGTCATCTTTCCTCTATGTCAGTTCAAATACTGAATCATTTTCTGAATCATTTGCATTTTTATCTCAATAATCTTACTGAAATGTCCACTGCAGACTTTGTTCTGATGATAATTTACAGTTTGAGAGATTTATTTGATACAATAATAATGGTTAAAATTCAGTGTTAAACATAGAAAATGCTCTGTGACATTTTGAGATAGTAAATGTACAGTATATGTGTGTGTTGAAGTGTTGGATAGATGGTGTTCTTGTGCGCGTTGTTGAGTGCAGAGGAATGTTAGAAGTCATTTCACTGATCCCAGAACAGATGTGACCTGATGTTTACTGTTTGCTGCTAACTTTAGAATTCATTGCTCATGGGAAACACTGTTTACTGTGTGTGTGTGTGTGTCTGTGTGTCTGTGTGTGTGTGTGTGTGTGTGTGTGTGTGTGTGTGTGTGTGTGTGTGTGTGTGTGTGTGTGTGTGTGTGTGTGTGTGTGTGTGTGTGTGTGTGTGTGTGTGTGTGTGTGCTCCAGCCTGCATCTGGGGCTCATGCTTGGTCAAGCTTGGATCGTGACTTGAGATCAGGCTGTTTCCATCGTGGCTAAAAACGTGCAGCGTGCTGTGAGCGGTCGTGATCAGTGTGTGTGATGTGGGCCCAGTGCGAGTGTGTTTTTGTACAACAGGAACAGTGTGGTTAAAGGCATCTCTTACCTTGATGACATGTTAGAGGTTTGGGGTTCTTTTAGTAAGCGTCTGTGCCTGCAGCTCCTCGTTGAAGCAGCGCACTTATAGCACAAAAATGTCAAAATAAAACAGAGAATTGAGGTTGTATTGAACGAGCAGTCGTTTACTACCCACAGTGATTAAAGTCACAATAAAAGCTGGTGCAATTACTAAACACCTGAAATTGATACTGGACTCTAAACAGCAGTTTAACTTGTTGTTTATGGGCAATATTTTAATCACAGTGGTTAAAAACAAAGCAGGGTGCCTCGGCTTTGTGAGGAAATTCATCCTCTTTCTTGTGTGACTGTAGCCGTTCAGTAGACAGTGTTTGCATGATGTAATTACCTCTCTGTATAATAGTTTTCATTGTCCACATCCATCACATCCTCGTGGAATATTTTGCATTCAGTAGCATTTTCACACTTCATTGACGATTAATCTACAGATTGTTTTCTCATTAATTAATTAATCGTTTAGTTTATTTGACAGTAAAATGTCCATCACAACTTCCTAGAGCCCAAAGTGTCAGATTCACATTGCTTTTGTCGTGTGATTATTATAAATGACAAAGAAAAACAATGAATTGTCACATTTGAGAAGCTGGAACCAGAATTTTTGCTTGAAAAATTACTGAAATTATTATTAATTATTATCAAAAATAGTTTTTTCTCCTGATAGATAGTTGCAGCATCCACACACACACATACTTCACGTGATGCTGTAGATAAAAACTGATGCATGTGCACATTTTATGTAATAGAGAACACAACATTGGATCATGAGTTAAGTTTTACCGTGACGGACGACACTGTTGTCTTCTTATTTATCAAAACAACATGAGGCGATGAATCCTCTCTGGTTTGTTTTCTGTAAACAGATAAACCAGTTTTCTTCTCTGGTTTGACAAAGTAGCTGCTGAAGGTGTGTTTGCTGCCCTCAGTGGTCGATGTGACTTTATTTCTTATGCGAATGCTTGAAGAAATATAATGTTGGGCTTAATAATCTTCAGGGAAAACAATCAGAGGTGCTACACATCACATAACAAAGGCCACTTGTTTATTGAGAGAGGAGATTGTTTAAAGGTCATGTTTAGATGCATCAGGATCAGTTAAGCAGGTGACTGATCAATCGTATGTTCGCTTCTTGGTAATCAATCAAAGCAGCGAATAAAATACTGCTGCAACCAATGATTATTTTCTTTATCGATTAATCTGTTGACCGTTTTCTTTATTAATCAATTAGTTGTTTGGTCCATACGATGTCAGAACATTGTGAAAAATGTTGATCGGTGTTTCCCGAAGCACAAGGCAGTGTCCTCAAATTACTTTGTTTTGTCCACAAGTCAAAGATATTCAGTTTAATGTCAGAGAGGACAAAAGGGACCAGAAAATATTCACATTGGAGAAGCTGACATCAGAGAATTTTGGACATTTCTTTTTCTTAAAAACGGATTCAAAACAATAAATCAGTTATTATAAAAACTGGCAAGTAATTTAATAGTTGGGGAGTAAATAATTAATACACTGCAGATGAAACACCTGACTGAATTTAGTTTGATGATCACCAGTTTTATCCAGTGGAGTCTGCTTTGAGTTGAAGTTTAAAGTTTGTATTGACCAGCTGGACTTAATGATCGATTTCTTGCATTATTAAAACACATCTGCTGTTACCTCCAGTAAGCACCAACCAGGACTGAATGATAAGTTAAAGGACCGCATGAATTCCTTATAATAAAAACATTTCTCTGTTTTAAATGTCGCGTTGAAATGTTTTCAAAGGTTGAGGGGAAATTACCGTTCTGTGTAAGATAGAAAGTTTTGTGTTTGGAGAGAGAGTATGAACTGTTGCGTAGGGAGGCTGTGTCTGGTGTTACTCCATTACTCTGAGCCCATATTGTGATATCATCAACGTCATGCCTCACTACAGCCTTGATACTGACCAGATGATGCCTTCAGGAACACACACGGACACAAAAGCAGGCTATGACATCATTAATGGGGCCTGCGTCTCTCTTCCAATCCGCCTCCGTCTCTTCTTTCTTTCTTTCCTTTCTTTCTTCCACTCTTCCTCTCCATCCTTTCCTCTCATGTCTTCAGGCAGGCGATGAGTCATTTTTGGGGGGCAGCTTTTGGGCGCGTGATGGGATTGGAGGATTGGACAGGAAGCCGTGAAAATTAAATTCATTAAGTGAATCTCTGCTGCTAGAGAGACGTCTCTTTGTGACGTCGCTGTTTATATAAAAGCAGTAACAGGGGGCTTTTAGGAGGTTGATGATTGATGTGTGAAACCACATTTTAATGCAGACCTGCTCTAATTTACATTATAACCAACCAACACGACAACAACAATATAATACAACATTACGGGATGTTTTACTAGACCATCAGCTCCTGTGTCGTTTGAATGATTAACCTCAAATAGAAATTTACATGTTCTGCTTTATTACATTTGTGTGGTGTCTTTAGCTGTTTGATGTGGTAATAAAACAAGTCCGGTGTTGTACTCCATTGTTATCGTCCCCAGTGTCATTGTTTCACATGCTAATCATTTATAATTGTGGTTTTTATTTTAGAGGTTACTCAGCAACAGGTAGGCTTTGATTTCCTTCTGTTGCTCGTTGTATTTATAAAAGTGGTGACTGCTTATTGGAGAATAAATCCTGAATCATAAAATAGAGAGCTGCGGGAACATTTTCGGATCGCAAAATCATGGGCTTAGTAAATTTTGTTCCAGGAAGTTGAAGGTAGATAAAGTAGGATTTATAAATGTCTCCATATACCTTAATTGCTTAATGCTTTTGTTTAGGAGTGGCTTTTCCAAACGCCGTGCTTAATTAAAGTTAGAAGGAGTTAAAATCATTAGTCTGCAGCAGGACTCCTCTTGTGGATCCTCCACATCGTTAGAAGCCAACAGTCAGGCAAAAATTATGTACAGCAGGACGACTTCCCTGATCCGGGCAGCTGCCTGCTAGTGCTGCCCTAGTCACCGAGCTACACGGAGAATCTAAATATGTGTTTATTTGTGTACTGTGTGTGTGTGTGTGTGTGTGTGTGTGTGTGTGTGTGTGTGTGTGTGTGAGAGAGAGAGAGAGAGAGAGAGAGAGAGAGAAAAAAAAAAGAGAGAGAGAGAGTCTGGTCGAAGCTGACGTGCTGAATCATTTGATGTCAACTGTTTGTGGCAACATGCCCAGCAAACTGTGTGTGTTTTATTTTTATCAGCTGCCTGGTTCAGACTCCGATCAGAACTATTGTAAGTGAGCTGAGGGGTGACGTAATGTAACATTGTGTGTGTCTCGGGGTTTTACAGCGCACTGACTTTACTGTAACTCACATTAAATAACATTAACGTGTCGTTTCATCTCTCTACAGGAAACGGTCACCCTGCCCTGACACCCTGCTTCTCCTTCCCTCCACCCAGCTCCACCCCACCCCCCCGTCCTGATTGGGTCTCCGTGCTGCCGGCGGTGGATTGGAGCACTCTGATTGGAGGCTTTGCGAGGTGGTTTTTCGGTCTGGCGCCGCCTCCCCCCGGGGCCGGCGTGCGCTCCCAGCAGCCCGTGGTGCCCTGTGCCCCCCCCTCCCCGTCACTGCACACCAGAGCCCATGCCCAGGGTAAGACCAGGACCAGGACCCTGATTTGTTGCTGTAGGGGACGTCCCATAGATCACGCTGCCAGTCCGTAGAGTTAATCAGTTGAAGGTCATACGGTTGGTTAGGTTTTTAAATATCGAGCTTTCAGGGTTCACACCCGTAGATTGGTTCCCCGTCTGGACCAAAGTAGAACTAATTGATCCTTTTTCTCAAGCAAAGCACCAGAACACGAGGGAGGAAGGTTGTACATCACTAACCCTAACCCTCTGATAGATAAATAACAATCAAATATCACATGGACAGTCACAGTACTTTTACTACTTCTACTTTAACTACATTTTGTTGTTGCTTAAGTTTTTACTTGCAACAGAGTTATTCTACATTGTACAGATAGTAGTCTATGTTATGTACCATAACACTGACACGACACAAGACTTTACCTGGTACACTGAGAACTGACAGCTGACATCAAATGTCTGGTCAGATTTGATATTTTGTATTCTTATTTTTAAATCATGCATTTTTGGAGCAAAAATTCTTTATACTGCATTTAATATTTAAAAACTTTGGCTTATTATATAAAAAGAAAATAAATGCGTAGAAAATATGTTTCTCAAAGTAATTCATTAAAAAAAAGTATAATTTTGGTATTGTTTAAAGGGAAAATGATACAGTATTCAATACAGAAACACAAGTATTGTTTCAGCACTAGCATCAAAACATTTTAAATTATACCTGAGTAAGAGCTGCAGCTGGAGCAGATCTGTGCTGCAGGCCTTCGAGCTGAGTTCTGCTAGAAAACAAGTGGACTTGTTGTCCGACCACATCAGAAATCAAAGGTGTTCTGACAGCTTTATTGTTTATTGTGAAACACAGACAGAAGCCCAGATGAATTCTCTCTGATGAATCCTTCTCTCTTCTGTAGGAGGAGGCGCGGTGCGTCCGCCAGGAGCCATGTGCCTCCCTCACACCAACAACATGGACAGCAAGCTACAGGGGGCGGGGCCAGGGGGAGGGGCTTCACTTCGACCACGGGCAGGAGGCGTTCCACTGGAGCCCTTCATACACCAGGTGGGTAGGAATGGCGTGAAGTCAAAGTGACGCTCTGTGTTAATGATATGAATATTTTTATTTTCATCTGAAAAAACTTCAGATATTTAAGTTTTTGTTGTTCTTCCTGTTTCTATGTGTTTGCAGGTGGGGGGTCACACCAGTATGATGCGTTATGATGACCACACAGTGTGTAAGCCTCTGATCAGCAGAGAGCAGCGCTTCTACGAGTCTCTGCCTCCAGAAATGAAGGAGTTCACCCCGGAGTATAAAGGTCAGTCCTAACTCGCTGATGTTTAGTATTATTGTAGCCATCAAGCTGGATTTGTCACAGAATTCTTTGGGGCAGAAAAACAAACTATTGAGGTTTTAATGAAGAAGTCGAGCAATAATTGGCTTTTTTCCATCATTCTGTGAGCAGCCGTGAACGCCAACAGTGAAAGTAGTTGATTATCTCGCTGAGACGTTGGAGCTGCAACTGCCTCTTTCTATTACTCCCTGCAAAATTAAAACTTAATTTGCAGTCAAAAACTGCTGAAAGTGATTTTTGTCTCATTTTGTCGACGCGTTCTTGGTGAACAGTGTAAAGCTCACTGACAAACACATTGTATATCATGTGACTTTACTATATTACTTCATAATAAAACTGGTGAAGCTGCAGCAGTAGGAAATGTTCGGTTTGCATTAGCAGTAACTTAACACTACCTTTCTGTGGGTATTTTGCCACAGATGTCTAGTTCTTAATACAGTAAATATAAATAGATTTAAATACTTTGATCAGTGGATATTATGCGGGCCGGATGTGGCCCGCTGGCTGCCTGTTGAAGACCTAATCTAATCTTACACATACAAAACAATACAATATGAAAGCAGCCCACAGTCATATTACATAAAAACACACCCTGCCACGTCTACATCAATTACTTAATCGACAGAAGATACAGACCACTTCAAAGAGCCGTAGACACATTAAAAAATAGTGCACTCAGAGGACATTGGATCTTTATTTTATTTTTATTCATCGTTCATTCTCGGAGTAGAAATGCTTTGAATAAAAGTGAAAACTGTGTGCACAACATCCTGCGTACTGCTAGGGCGAATCCTTTTGACTGAAATGTTGCATTAAATATGATAAAAGCCACAGCCAGCAGTAAGACTGATGGTGTTTGTGGGAGTCTTATTGAATCTGTTTTTCCCTGCGATGCACCTGTCTCACATTCAGATGTGTGAGATACTTTTCTGTATTGTGATGACAGTAGGTTTAGAGGTGCAATAGTGTAAGGGTTGATTATTAATCACTTTGTTGTGACGCCCCCAGACTTATATTTGTGTTGCTTTCAGAGGATCCCAGGTGTCTTTTTAAACTATTCAAACATGGCTCAAAATACTCTTTACTCCTTTGGGTTTGGTGGTGGATGGAGAGACGGACAGACGGAGGAGAAAGGACGGATGTACGGATGTTTACTGGCAGTGAAGTGGTTTAGCTGCTCTGCTCTTCATCACCAGGCACATACTGTAGCTGCTTCCACTTGCTTTTGCTGTAGTAACAGTCCCCAAACACACATTGACAGCCAGCGAACACACACACACACACACACACACACACACACACCTCATTCTCTCACACATGTATGTGACCTATCTATCATTTTAGCGAACTATGTATGAGAGGAGACAGTGACGAAAGTTGGGGGTGTGAAAGGGAGGGGAGCAGGAATGAAGGGAGCCTGGGAGAGGAAGAGAGATTTTGCAGGTGTAAAAAATACAATTATTAATGGCTCTGTTCCATTTAGGTGTGTTTCTGTGTCACGACAGTGAGCCAACAAGCAAAACACCAGAGCCCTGACACTGAAACACTAAAATGGAGCGCAGTAATTATTATGATGCATTAGTTTCTCTCTCTTTGATTTAAAAATGTCTGTCATGAGGGAGGTTTGGCAGGAAAACGCTGCGAGACACAAACTGTGTCCCAGTTCAACACTACATACTGATCAGGTTTTGAGTACGTAGTGGGGTCACACAGGAATATCAGTATGCAGTATGCAGGCATGAAATGTGATTTGTGAGTGCTGTTGGCTGACACTATAGTCCCACAATGCATTGCACAATGCAAATTGAGGTGTTGCTGTTAAAGTTAATTGTAAAGCGCAGTGAGAAAGCTCTGAAAAGATCAGAACGGTTTATTAAATCCCCCTCACAACCACAATGGTGCTCTCTTGTTGTGCTTGATTAGACCTCTTGTAAGGACCTGTAGCTGATCATGTGACTCCACACGAGACATATTGATCCGGGAATAGTCTGTGGTAGTACACCTGGTGGATTTAATCCCAGTACACTGACCTACAGCTACTGGTAGGTCTGTATTCCCACCAGTCCAGCCTGCTGGTATTGTGGGTCCAAGTGGCATGACAACAACAGCCCATAAGGAGTCTATATTTAGCCCTGGATCACTGCCCACTACCATTGTCCTGCTGATTAAATAACAGCAGACAGACAGACAGCTGCCCAGGGATGACTTTCTGAATCTGTCAAGGTTGTTTAATCCAGAAACTGTTTGACATTATCAGATTAAAGTCCTCCTTGTGTTTTGGGCATGGAGATGGTCTGTGGCCACACGTTGTGCTGTTCACGGGAAGACTTCACTCTTCAGTTTGGACTTGATCTTTGGAGTTGATTTCCCACCAGTGAGCACACTGACAGAAAGATTTAATTGGGACAAACGGGGAGGATGTTCAGTGTCTCAGTTAGCATGGAAGAGATGTTCTACTCTCTGGGTTTTAAAAGCTAAAAATAACAACTTAATGTTTAAATAAAACATTGTCAGACCTTCCTATCTGAGTATTTAATCTATAAACAGTTTCTCAATTGAGTTTTAAAACATTTACTATATCTTTTATATACAGATGGATGACAAATGGCAGTTAAACATTCAGTGTGTTATTAAAGTGAGCCTCCAGAACAGCTTTAGTCTTCTTTAGTCTTCTGGAAGCCTCTAAAAAGATATTCCCTCATTTGGTGTTTGGACGAAGGTAGTGGAGAGCATTGTCTGTCCCTTCAGTCCAAAATCTTCCATAAGTGCTCAGTCAGGTTGAGATCTGGTGACTGTGATAGCATTGAGTCCGGGGAGACCTATCTGTATTTAGGGATTGTGACATATGAAGTACTGTGATTCAAGAACCACTTTGAGTCGTCTTCATTTAATTAAACAAGTGACCAAATTGTTTTCTTTGGTCGAGATTTAAGTGAACTTTTACATGACAGTGATTGATCCGTTGTTAATATAAAACATGCTAATTACTACAGCTCTAAAGTGGTACGACATCACTTTTTAAAAAAGAAATATACATTGATTATTATTATAAGTTAAAAGTCCAAAACACAAGTAATAAAACAGGCCATTGCTAAATTCAGTACACTCGGGGGAGTTTGTTGCTACAACCTTACTTACATCTAATATGGCCTGTAGCTTATGGTGGCTAATATGAGCTAATGTCAGCAAACTAAAATAACAGAAAGGTAAACTGATAAACCTTAGATGGATAAACTGCTGTATAACTGATGTTCAGAGTCAGTTTGCTGACTTTATGACTCTTCTCTACTGTACTGCGTTACACTAGTTTTTAAAACCACAATTGCTGCCGTTCAGCAAACGTTACATAATCTCACTTTAAGGTCAGTGTTAAAGTGAACACAGGGTTTCCATTTTTAAATGTATAAATGCTGTCTCAGTGGATTTAGAGAAGAATCTGACCTGACAGATCTGCTGGATTTATTAAACAGCATGTCTAATAATTACTGTGGGACCATTAAGAGCTTTTTACACCAGCAGGAGGATATTAAACGGATTAAAGGTTCACAGGTAGATGCTGAAGGTTTTAGACTGGATATAATTTGGACCGACTTGTCTCAGGTTTCTGTTACTAAGAACTGAGTTTTAAAAAATGTTTCTAATCTTCTGAAGGGGGCAAACATTATGTAAGATGTTTCAAAGTATTTTAGAAGATGGATTACATTTCTCTGCGGTACGTCTTGATATTGAAATAAATGTCTGATATTTCTAAACATCCTTTCTGTGTTTTGCTCCGTCCTGTCAGGTGTGGTGCTGGTTTGTTTCGAATGCGACTCTGACGGCTACATCAATCTGGTGGCCTACCCCTACGTGGAAAGCAACATGGAGGGGGGTATGGCGGAGCACGAGGAGCGTGACCTCCCAGAGAGGGAGCAGCCGAGGAGAAAACACTCCCGGCGCAGCCTCCATCGCTCCTCCTCGTCCTCGGAACACAAGGAGGAGCGGTCCGACAGGAGGGAGTCGCACGACACCGACACATCCGAAAAGTAAGATCGTATTAAAGGAAGAGATCGCTGGAAAATAAACTGGTTATCCATTAATTTTTCACTATTTTCTGACATTTATTGACTGAAAATAATCATTAAGTTGCATCCATTGCTCCCTGGCATGATGGGAAATGAGTCGCACTAGGTGTCAAATTTGTGTAAATAAGGCAAAACTTTAAATCCATTATAAATGCAACAGAGGATCACAAACAGATTCTCTCTCTTCCTCCTAGCAGTCTTGGAGAGCTGAAGAGTCCCAGGCTCGACCCAAAGATCCACTCAGACGTTCCCTTCCAGATGTTGGACTGGAACAGTGGTTTGAGTTCGGAGAAGATCAGTTACAACCCCTGGAGCCTCCGCTGCCACAAACAGCAGCTCAGCCGCATGCGGTCTGAATCCAAGGACCGCAAACTCTTCAGTATCCTTCCTACAAAATAATGTAATCAAGGTCCGCTTACTAGGCTTTTCTGCAGTTTAAAAAACGAACCCAACAGAGTTTAAGGCAAGTGGACTGTGCTGTACTGTGTCTCCAAGGTTAAGAGCACACTTGATCTGGCTGAAATAATATATCCACAAGAAATGTGGCTAAATGTAAAGCCACATTTCCACCAAACACTGGTACCTAAACCCTGGAGACAGTTTTCCAGCTGTTTGGAAACAACAGAGAGACTTTTTTTAGTCTTGAGAAGCTGCAGCATTTATTAACTGACACACTGCAGCTGATACTTCACCGTCACCTTCCTGTCTCTCTCTCTCTCTCTCTCTCTCTCTCTCTCTCTCGCTGTGCACACGTGTTTCATGTTCTTTCTTCTCTGTATGTGTTTGTTTATTACAACAAGGAGGCAAGCTTTGTCTGAGAAAAGGCTGCAGGCAGAAAGACAAAAGTGTTTGTGAAGTCCGACATCAGAGCGGAGATGACCAGACGACTCTGGCTGCTCCGATTCTCTCTGACCAATCAGTGGTCTGCAACGATTTAACTCTACCTCTTAGTATCGACTCAGCTCGCTTGGAAACTCAACAGTGACAAGAAAAAACGGGACAAAATTGAGTGGTTCCTGTGGTACCATCTGCAACTTTGGACAATGGGAACGCACAAATAACGTCCTAATGTGCAACGAACTGAAATGTCCGTGAGAGAGTGAGGAATAATAAAGGGGACGGTGGGAGGTGTCTGAGGTTATCAGGTCGAAGGTTGTGTTTTGATCTTCAGCTTCAAAGAGAGCAGACTGCAGCTGTGTGGAAAACACAGCAACAAACACTCTGTCCTCAACCAGGTCCATCTGTCTTCAGTCAAAGCAGGTTCAACGGGGCCGCTGTCAGAGAAAGTTCTCTACGCAGATACACAATACATTCAGATTATTAGAAATTATCAGCATGTAGTGATAATCTCTGAGGCTTTAATCATAAAGAGACAGTGTACTATATAATATAGTAATATAATAGTATATGCCATATTGTAACACGATGCAGTCACTCTGTGACAAAGACAGGGAAGCAAAATGGGGAAAAACAAGAAGTCAAGATGTAAATGAAATCTAATAATAGCCGATAATGTATTTAGAGTGAACAGCAGGAATATTCTATCACAGTCACAGTGTTGGTAAATCTTCACACATTTGACTATTCAGAACTAAAGGGAAGGAAGTGCTCTACAGTGAGTGTGCTTACCTGGAAGTATTTCCAATTGAAGACAGAGATGTGTCTATAGTATGGAAGTTTTTACAAATCAGCAGTACCATAAATTTGAAATCTGCATAGAGAAAGTTTATTTAAAACAGGCTCATGTTATAGACATGCTTTTATTTTTATTTGATCACCTGATTTCTGATCTGCTCCTTTTTTTAATTTGCTATCAACATTTAAATTCAGTACATTGTACATTTACACTGATTTTCCATTTGAATTCTCATTGATAAATACATTTTTATGTTTACTTTATCCTTTTATTCATTATAAGCTAAAACTACGCAGATTACATCACCGTAAAAGCAGCTCAAAGGACCTTTTACTTATTATCATTGATTGATCAAGAAAGGCAAAGAATGGATTTGTAATTATTAGACATTCGGACAAATCAGTTCTGCAACTTCACATTGGCTCATTTACAGTATTTTGTTTCTAGAAGTTTCACAAGTTTAGTTAATTTTTTGCACAATAAATTCAAATAATTAAATGTGATTGAAGTACATCATAAGCTGCTGTGTGTATCTCTCCACCGTCTATAAAACCATCTCTTGCTCGCCAGACAGAAATGTTCTCCTTAACTGCAGCGTTTCAACCAGAGTTCCTGTTGTTGGAGAACGTGGTCCACCACTTCTCTTACCCCTGCATCCTGGACCTGAAGATGGGCACCAGGCAGCACGGAGACGACGCCTCCGAGGAGAAGGCGGCCAGGCAGATGAAGAAATGTGAACAGAGCACTTCAGCGACGCTGGGAGTCAGAGTGTGTGGCATGCAGGTACAACAACAACAGCTGCTGCTGCTCAGTCAGCACCATCGAAATATATCACAGGATCAGTCCTGAACAAAAGATAATCGCCTGAGGATGTTAAAGAAATAATACAGACTCATTAACCTCCATCAGTTAGTGAATGTCACAGTTCACTCTGCTGGGGTAAAGAACAATAATGTTAGATACCTCAGGCACATTTAGAAAAAGATGGTAGCGTGTGCTCCCAAAGAACCATAGAAATAGTCTTTATTCCACTAATATAGATTTTATTTCTTTAACTCTACGGAGGTGAATGTTGATGTATTGATACTTCAGCATTATACTATACTGCTTATAAACCCACCCAACAACCCTAGAACCCACAATTCCACGCCCGATATTACATATAAACAAAACACTTACACTGTCCATCTCATAATACTAATAAGCTTGATAATAATTACAATTACAAATCAAAATCAGTGTATACACACACACCCTCCAGACAAATGTTCTACTCGTATTTGGGCTCTGAAAGAAGGAAATTCTTTCTGGATTGTTGATATAGGAGATATGTAGACTGTTAGTCTGCTTATATTTTGAAAATCCTAATCTATTGTATTACATAATGAGTGCACGGTTGTACTATTGTTGTCGGTGAGATGTTTGAGGGGTTTCCCGCCCGTCTCTACAGGTGTACCAGCTGAACACCGGTCACTACCTCTGCAGGAACAAGTACTACGGACGCGGCCTGTCAATCGAAGGCTTCCGCCAGGCCCTCTACCAGTACATGCACAACGGAAAGGGTCTGAGGCAGGACCTCTTTGAACCAATCCTGAATAAGCTTCGCAGCCTGAAGACGGTGCTGGAGAGGCAGGCGTCCTATCGCTTCTACTCGTCTTCACTGCTCATCATCTATGAGGGACAGGTGAGGCGGCACTTGATGCTCTGTGACGATGCGTTCGTCCGTTGATGGGTTAGGTCTAATTTGTTCTTCAGCAAACCTGTTTTCGGGCGATTATACACTAATAAAAACATACCTATCAATATCATATTTTATGTCTGTCAATATATCCTCCTAAATGGTACACACTGGACCTTAAAAGTCTGAAGGGGCAAAAAAAAAACCAACACTTTATTTCGAGGGCAAAGTCAGTGCACCTGAAATGTCGTAATGATCCTTCACTGCACGGGAAAACTGTGTGCACAACTACAGTAAGTACGGTAGTTTAAACTGTGTTTTACAGATGTTTACAGACAACTTAGATAATATGTACATGTTGTGTTAACAGCTGGTTTTCGCCGCCCTCAAGTGGCAAAAAAATTGAAGAATTATTTTCTATTTCTGTTATTTTCTGTCTGTTTTTGTGGTTCATTCTGATCCCTGTTGGATTCTCTCTGTAGGAATCTGAGGGCCCTTCAGTCCTCAGCTCCGGGCAGCATGCATCCTTGCAACAGAAGACTCCTCCGGCCCCTGCAGAGCCCCACTGTGGCCCCGGGCCCCGCGCACCTCTGCCCCCAGGCGCTCCCTGTGAAACGGACATGAGCCAGAACCCGGACCCGGGGTCACTGTCCTCTCAGGGACCTGGACTTATGGCTCCACCCGCCCCTTCCCCTCGTCCTCCCCCCCCACAGGCCCCACCTGCCAAGTCAGACTGCCACTCCTTCCTCTCCTCGCCTCACCCCCATCCAGACTCCTTCCCCCCTCCTCCTGCCTCCCAGCCCCAGCAGCCCCCCCTGGTGGACGTACGTATGATCGACTTCGCCCACTCCACCTTCAAGGGTTTCCGCGGCGACACGGCGGTGCACGACGGGCCGGACCGGGGCTACGTGTTTGGACTGGAAAGCCTGGTCCAGATCCTGGAGAGCCTGCGGGACGACAATCTGCCGTAGCTCCGAACACACACACACAACACACACACACACACACACACACACACACACACACACACACACAGCTTGTTGTGAGTTAGTTCAGGTCGTTACAGTCGGTGCAGGCTGTGCGACGGCGTTCTCAAGGACTGAGACGGTTCTTTGGCTGTAAATATGGAACAGGGTTCTTCAGGACGTCACCATGGCAACATGGGCATTCTACAGTCGAGTAGTTACTATAGCAACGGCCAGGAGGTGGGACAGTGGAGCCAAAATTGCTGCAACTTCACACTGATACGGAGACCCTCTGTTCGTCTGAGGCTCTGCACAACACACACACACACATATTTTTGTACTTCTATACTTGTGAGGACCCTCATTGACATACTGTATCCCCTAACCCCTAACCCCTGACCTCTAACCCCTAACCCACAACCATCACAACTAAACTGAGCTCTAACCTTAAAGCCCACCTGCTCTCGAAGATGTGTTTATGTCCTTGTTCCTAAACGTTTGATGTTTGAGTTTGACACTAGAAGGATGTTTTCATTCGTGTGCTGAAGGTGGTAAAGATTCCCTGAGTTTACCTGAAATCTTGAGTTTAAGACGTGTACATACGAGCATTAGAACCAGTTTGGATCCAATCCCGGTCCAATATGCGTCGTACACACAATCCAAGTGCGGATGGATTCATCGGTGAAGAGGAGACGATGTTTCTTCAGCGTATTTCGAGATTCTAGATTTTTCAATCAATTTTATAGATTTTAATGAGGTTAGTTGTTTGTTGATAAACCGCACCAGACACATTTTTTTATATGTCTTAAAACATGTCTGGAAGGGATCTTTAAACTTTAAAGATTTCAGGTGAGCACAGAGAAACAAACTTCACTACATTTTAACCCTCCGGTGTCGAACTCTGCACGCCCGTCGTTCTGCAAAGTGAAGCTCAAACATCCGACCGTAGGAAGCGAGAAGATAAACACACAACAGCAGCGTGAGTGGACGGGCCAGAACTCTCAAATTGGTCCTCACGAAGATAGACGACCAAACACACACACACACACACACACACACACACACACACACACACCCTGGGAACAGTTGTCTGTGGAGCTGTTTGACAGCACAGCGGGACAGAGCATCCTCTTTCTGAACAACCATTCAGCTGGATCCCAGGAGCCGCCCACTGAAGTTGGCCAACACTCACTTTTACCTCCCCTTCACTCCCCCACCTCCACTCCTCCTCACTCCTCTTTTCTCTACAGAAAAACCAAACCTGGACAGGTGAAATAGACTCTTTTAGCGTTACCTCAGAAAACGCACTCAGAAACACATCCGAGCGTCTGTTAAAGCAATAGATGGCGATGATAGACGGCCACAGAGGGCACTCCCTCGCCCCACAGGGAGATAAAGTACAACAGAGATTTGCGTCATAGAAGTAGGCTTTAAGGAGAGGATATAGATCATTTCTAAAAACGCTGTATGTCCGTTTTTGGGGCTTAATTCAAAAACGTTAGTAGTCGGTGTCCTGTAAAAATCATCCTCTGGGTTATTGTGTAATATGGAAAGCATAAGTGTCACTGTCCCCAAATCTTGTCTTGGTGATATTTTTTTCTTATTGCCAACAAATCCCCACGAAAAAAAAAAAAGATCCAAAACCAACAACAAACTGATGCACTAACAAGTATTTTGTGTGTGTGTTTCCTAAAGCCTGATATATTTTATTCCTCTGTGCCATAGAGCTCCATTGTTGTCCAAAAAAAAAAAAACTATTAAAAACACATCAATGAGCCACACTGTTGCACTGGGTTACATGTCCATCCTTACCACGAACACACACACACACACACACTGTAGTTTATGTTGAGTTAATCACACACACACACACACACACACACACCATCCTGCTGCTGGAAACACTGGAGCACCAAATGTGTATTAATCCAAAAGAATCCCCATTAAATGCACTATTTCCTCAAGTCTGAGTAACGTTTGCAAATAACTACGTTTTTGAGCTGTTTGGAAATTACTCTCAGCCTGAAACTATATATTTGTGAGATTGATTTTTATATATTAAATTGTTTTTTTGGGTGGAGGGGGGAGGTTATGTTATGCCTTTTATTTTATAGCCGACAGTAGAGAGATGACAGGTGATTTCTGGGGACGTTGTGGTTCATGGTCGCCGCCTTAAACCCTTGGCCACCAGGGCGTCCCAGAAGATTTATTCTGAACCTTGGAAACAGCAGAACAAAACAATCTTCCCACAAACATCCATTTAATATTTGTTCTGGAGCTTTCGATTGAGTCGTGATGAAGCTGTACACGTTTAAATCTCCATTTTTTTAAAGCATTTTTAAAAGTCTTTTTTTGTCCACGTTGGCTCTTTACAGGTCAAAAGCTCCAGAACAGCTTCTAAGTGATGTTTCCTGTTTCTAACGTCAAGAATTAACTTTCCAATTTTCCTTTTTTTTTTTAAAGCCAAAATGGACGAGAAGTCCTTAAAGCGCTCAGAAAAACAGAACTAATGGATTTTGTGATGTGACGAGCTCCAGAAACAGCGACTTTGTGGAACCTCTTGGTGGGATTGTTTTGTCAGATATATATTTGTGAGCTATTTTTAAAAGATTTACGTCTTCAGGAGGAACAAACTGAGGCTGAGAGCCGCAGACAGGGTCGGGTCGGAGGGGGGAATAACACGTTGGTTTGGTTCTTTTCATGGGATTTGTTGACAATAGAAAATATATAAAACGACATCAGCCTTATTCTTTAAGTTGCGGCTGGGTGAATAAAAAGAATATTTAATAAGAAAAAATATTTTTCTTACATATATATGTGAGCTAATCACAATATTTCAAATAACCCAAAATAATCCAATTTATGTTCATTGCAATGGTTCCACTGTTCTCCTTCAGCTAACTTTGGCAGGTTTTTTAAATTATAATTTAGATGAGAATTGTCTGAATTTAAATCACCATTTTCAGTAATAATGTTGAGTAATTGCCCCCCCCCCATCCTGCCTCTAAACCAACTCTTCATCCTGTGGCTGCAGAAGCAGAATTGGCCGCAGTCTCTCGTTTAAAGACGCCACCTTTTATCTCATCTGATTGGTCCTGATGAGACCGTGTTAGCCAATCACATTTGTCCGTTTATGCTTCCTTCAACAAGTTCCAGAGGCCGGCTGTGACGCAGCAGCGCCCCCTGCTGGACGGCAACAGGAACTCAACCCCCAGGAGCTGGAATAAGAGAGAGCAGATATGAATATTTTATTTTTGGTTTATCGAGGTGATAATTTATTTTTTTATTGTACCTTTACCCATATGTGTGGGTGAATGTTATGTCTTTTACATGTCACTCTCCCCCCCAAAAAAAAATGTATAAAATGTAAAGAAATTAAGTGCATCAGAGACACATGGTGTGAAACGTCAGGAGATTGGCAGTATTACCTGAGCTAACTCAACTCTGTTACGTTTGCTGCTCAGTCTGACACTCGTTTGTGTTCACGAAGAAAACTGTCGCAGCAAAATCCAGACTTCAGTCAGCTCACTGAGCCCAACACTTGTGCCTGCTGTGGAGTTGTTGCTCAGGTGGGAAGCTCTATGTGTGTGTGCGCGTGTGTGTGCGTGTGTGTGTGTGTGTGTGTGTGTGTGTAGACGCCATCTTTTAGTCTTTGGTTTTGTTTCACTTCACGTTTAAGGAGTTGGAAAAGAACTTGCATGCACATTAACGTCCTCCTGTTTGGGTCGGTCAAACATTCTTGTTACAGTCAACACAGAGTCTAAAGCAGCGACGTCGTCCTCTCGGATCATGGATATTAGCCTCAGTGATTGATCAGTTATTTAGCAGCGTTTTCTGCATCTGACATCATCCTGACTGTTTTTTGTTAGAACAGTGAAAGTAAGTGAGATTAAATCTTTCCAGAAGCTTTTGGGCTCGTGTTGTAATTACTGACCAGACAGACACATCCAGCAGACGGCACTGAGTCATATGAGACACACAATATAACACTGCCAGTTGATCATATAAGCAGTAACAGTAACAGCAGCTGGTGCCGAGACGAACCCACGTAATTCAGTATCCCAGAGTTCAGGGATCTGTGGGGTCAGTGTAGTTCAGATTCACCTCACATGGGCCCTTTTTGGCCAAATAGTCAAAATAAAAACAGATTTCTTTGGAGTCATTGATGTTTCCCCCCTGATGTCCAATATTCACTCTCTTTTAGCCTCTTTTAGCCGTGGTTTTGGTCTCTTCCAACTCCTGAGGGAAATGTCGGCCTCTTTAGCTGCTTAACGCTCCGGTATGTTCAGCAGCTCGTCTCTGAGTACGGTGGGTTTCTATGAGAACGGCCACCTGCTGCACGAGAGCGGTTAGAGTAAACCAGACGACAAACAATAAATTGAGTGTTTGAGGAAATAATCAACAGATTAATCGATAATTAAACCATTGTTAGTTGCAGCCTTAATCCTATAATGGAAACAAGTGACAGCCGGTGTTTGTTCGCAGGGTTGAACACCAGCTGTAGCAGTTTTGAGGCTTGTGATGTTCAAGACTGCAGATATTCAGCCCTGTCCCTCTTCAGGCTCCTTATCTTACCGATAAAGTGCCTGGAAAAGGTTAACGCAGTCAACCAAGGTCGACTTTTAGAGTCTCACTGTGCCCTCAAAACCCAACGCTGTGACCTCGAACTGTATCCGAATCGCTCTGTGGAGGTCCGTTTCTGCCAGGAAGAGAAGAAAGTGATGAGATACCACCAGAAGAGGACTGCATTCACAAATAGAGATACTTTATCTCTTATTTGTAATTGTTGAGATAAAACCTCCAATTAGTTTGTTTATTTGTTGGATGCAATGCTCTTCCATAGATACTAAACCAGAATTAGAAGATTAAATTCTTCGTGGTTCGTAGTAGTTTGTACGTTGTATCTCATCATTTCTTGACAAAGTATGATTTTAATCTATAATCTAATTTTTTTGAGTATTTTTTAGGCCGTTTTGTGGCTTTTCTATTAGAAAACAGGAAATGAGGGGAACGACAACAGAGGTCTCCTGGTTGGACTCAACGTTACAGTTTCTTAAAACTCCACAGATTTAATCTATTGTCAGATTTTTTCAGCAGAACCAGTAATATTGTTTATTTTTATCCATTCATTTGTTTTCCCTGTCAACAACTGGCGCCTGCATTTCCCACAATGCAACTTGACCAGAGACAGTTCTGTCAGAGATTCTGGTTCATTATGTAGCGGCTAATGTAACCTCCTCGGGCCGCCAGCCTCAAACAGAGATGAGCAGCGGGCTGCGGAGGTCTGTTAACTTCATTCAAACTCCAACCCAAACTGATTTTGTTTAATTTTTTTAACTTGTAGTCTTCAGCTCCCAATTCAATTCAATTCAATTCAATTTTATTTGTATAGCGCCAATTCATAACAGAAGTTATCTCAGGACACTTTTCAAATAGAGCAGGTCTAGACCGAACTCTTTAACATTTACAGAGACCCAACAGTACCACCATGAGCAAGCACTTGGCGACAAGGGCAAGGAAAAACTGCCTGTTAAAAGGCAGAAACCTCGGACAGATCCTCCGGCTCTAGGTGGGTGGTCGTCTGTCTCGACCAGCTGTGGTGAGAGAGAGAGAGACAGGTGCACAGCAACAACAGTAGCAACAACTACACTAATAGTAGTGACTCCCAACCGACGCCGACTCCAGTGACATCACTTGAGGCGGTGTGTGTCAGATTTTGTCCCTCTGGAGCCAGAAGACAGAAGACTTCTTTCACATATGCAGTAGACCTGTAAACAGAGCTCTTCCTTAAAGGCCACGAGAACATTATTTATCTCATTATTGTGACTTCGTAGCTCAAAATTTTGACTTTCCATCAGTATTTTCTATTTTTTATCATTCCTAAATTTGTATTGTTTTGTTTTTTTCTAGCATTAATGGGCTTCTATAGAGACTGTATGACTGCGAGAGAAAACCACCAACACTGTAAACACGACTAATAACTCACTGGGTGTGACTCACGCTAACAGGGTAAAAAGCTTACTGTATGCAATATCATTTATGCTAATCATCACAATGCTAACAGCCTGAACGCACATCACCAGCAGTCGGTCACATGCATGCGCGAAAACTTCTCCTACACCAAGCTTAAATCTCGACAAAAACGCCACAGGTCTGGATGCTTTTATCAGCAGCTGGATGAGATCCAGAGCTTTCTTCTTTATGTTCATCTGACAATCAGGACGCCTGTGGGGACAGAAAATGTTAGAGCCTCCCATCCGAAACCTGACAAAACTCTTGAAGACAGAAGTGGGAGACAGCGAGCTCCGATTCTGCACGTCTCGCCTGGTTATTGAACCTGGTTCTCTGTGACCTCCGGGTCTTCCTGCTGTGTGCGGTCCACATCTGTTGTTGACTCACAGCGGAGGGATCAGTGTGTGAAATGTAAAAATATTCATCATGAATCATTTAATCTTGTATTCAATCTTTAAAAGCTTTTGGGGTTTTTTTTTTTTCTTTCTTTCTTTCTTTCTTTCTTTCTTTCTTTCTCAAAAACAGGTGTTTGAAAAGGGGTTGAAATAAAATCTGTGACTTCAGTGTGACTCGGCTCATTTCATCAGTTTCTTTTAAGTGTTTGTGGATTGTTAAATCATCATGTACCACCTTGTAACTCAGCTGCTGGGTAAGTTTCAGTGTTGACTTTAAATGTGGGGAATTAAAGGTCCAGTGTGTAACATTTAGGAGGATCTGTTGACAGAAATATAATATAATATTATTAAATATGTTTTTATTACTTGAAAATAAGATTCATTGTGTTTTCAGTACCGGAAATAGATGTGTTTTTTTTTTTTTTTTTATCTAAAGTCGCCTTACATGTTTCTACAGTAGCCCAAAACGGACAAAACCACTCAAACACTTTCACATTTTCACGAGTTTTGCAGCCAATTGTCAAACTTCACAGCCCGTTCTCATTCCCAGGTCGTCAAATACAGACGCGAGCGGTGTTCAGTTAGTTGCAATTTGACCACTAGATGCCACTAAATGCTTCACACTGACTGTTCCTTTAATTCACAAATCCAGAAGGACGGAAACATTTAAAACGTTTAGATCAGAGCAGTTGAGGGTGTCGATTCAAGATTAAATACTGTATCACCATATCAACATGAAGTCAAGACAAACAAAGGCTTGCAGTTTAACTACCTCTTACACTGATTATGTTTCCAGAGTTATTTCAGAAACAGATACTTACAAACATACAAACTCCACAACAACCTGAACCTTATACAGTCGTCCCTCCTCCTACATTCACATCCACAGACACAGAGCATCATTATTATCTGTGTTAGTGTCTGAATATTCAGTCTCTCTTTAGCAGCTAAATGTTCAGATTGCAGCGCCTGTCGAGAGCTGACCCTGACCAGTAATAATAATGAGGTTAGTTCAGACATTGTCCGTGCTCCAGATGCTGTTCTGTACAATATTTTGGTTTATAACCTCCTGATCTGTATTTTACTTTCAGATATTTTATCCTTTTATGCTTTATCAGAATACAGACGATCACAGACAATAAGAACATTCTGGTCTTTCAGGAGAGGAAATGAGTTTTTAATAGAAAAATACAAAAAGATAAAATAAAAAAAAGTCTGAAACTGTTAAATAGACGTATGATCAGAGAGAAATTGACTGTAAAGAGTGATTCTGAAAGGACGTGTTCTCATTCAACTCCTTTATTTGAAGTGTGCCTCTTGTCTCCTCACTGTGTGTTGCTTTGCCGGCCGTACAGGTCGTACTCTCGGTACAGGACGTAGTCCTTCAGTCGCTCCGGCAACGGCAGGAAGCTCATGAAGGTGGGCGACCGGAGACGAAGGCGACCGAGACAACGACGGATGCTCAGACGACAGAGATGCTGCAGACAGCGAGGATTCTCTGGAGAGGAGGAGGAGAGGAAGGATTAATGAAGACCACTTCTGTTGTCTGGGCGGGGGATTGATCAGAGTTTAATCTGATTTACCTTGCAGCCTGCAGATGTCGGGCCACTGCGGCTGCTCCATCACCAGCGCCTTCAGCTGAGAGCACAAAGTCACGTGATCCACGTAGTCCAGCAGGATGCGAACCACCTGACCTGAGAGGTGCTTCAGCCAGTAGACAGCGATCACCTCGCAGAACTGCAGTGACAGACAGACAGAGCTTCAACACAAGAGTCTTATATGTTAAAGTCAAACAGCTTCCACAGCAAATGTCACAGAAACTGCAGTTCCTCAAACGGTCACTAGAGGCTGGCTCCAATCTCCATAAGGCCTCTTATTAAAATGTCCAACTTTACAGCAGAAATAAACGTGTTTACAGCCTGGAACAATAAACAGTTTTGGTCTCTACAGCGTTTCTGACGACTGTACAGTGGGTGAATATTTATAAAACTCACACATTTAAATTATATTAAGGCTTAAAGTGATGTATAATTAAAGGAATAGCCACTTGGAGTAACAGCTGGGTGTCGTCTCTGTTTTCAGTAACCAGGATTCATTCAGCTCCACCCACACTTCACGTATTTGCCCATTTTTGGATTAGCGTCGGGGAAGGCCAAGATGGCGACAGCCCGAGCCGACCACAGTGGACGTCACAGAGACTACGTCCATTTTTAAGAGATTTAGATTTGGTTGTTTTGTTAAATGTACTAACATTTGATATTGTGAGACTACAGTTCAAACAGACTGTTGTTATGAAGAGTTAATAAAGTTATCGGTACAGGTTGTTACAGTGTGATCAACCGGTGTGGTTCTGTTCATTACCAAGGTGTCTTTGATCACACAGTCACTCCATCCCTCGAAGCCTTCAGGTATGTGGGAGCTGTTGCCATAGGGACAGTCAAAGCAGCGCCCCACATCGTAACCGTAGTTACACAGCATCCTGAGAACCACCTAACACACACAGACACACAAGAGGTCAGATTAAATACAAGAACCACTGTGAACGGCTGTACTTATGTTCCTGTAACTTCTGTGAATTTAAAATAAATGTTAAATATGTAAACGTAAAAGGATTTAAAACCTAATAAATGATGAAGAGTTTACCTCGTCTTTGAGAGCGTACTGCAGCGCTGAGGGGAAGTGTGTTGTGTTCACTCTGCAGTAGTAGTTGACGTTGGCTCCGAACCTCAGCAACAGGTTGATCAACTCATAGTTGCCCAAACGCAGAGCGACCTTAAAGACACAGTCACTGGATCAGCAACGGCATCATTGGTGTTACTAACTAACAGCGTATCCATCCGCCCAACGCGTCTGTGCTGGCAACCTCCCTGTGATTACTGTGATAATAAAGCTGTTGACTGTCAAGAAATAGTCCCAGAACGTTAATCCCACCAACTGTTCTGTTTGTGTGCAGATTAAACAAACAATAGTGAGCTTTAGAGGCGTTGGGAGGTGTTAACTGTAGACACAGCCAGGCTAACAATTCCCCTCTGCTTCCAGTCGTTAGTTTAATAAACACGAGATTAACACTCTCAGAAAGTAAAGTGAGTAGTTGTGTTTCTGTTGAACTATTTCTTGGAGTATGAAGTTCTTTTTATTGTTGGTATATAAAGAAAATTTACTATTTTTTCATTAATAATTTTACATTAAGTGTAACTTCAGTCTCTCAGCTACCTGCAGACATTTGATTGGGTCTTGGTTGGCCATGGCCCCGTTCTCCAGCAGCAGTTTGGCTGACTGTATGTCGTTATTGCAGACAGCGAAGAAGAGCGCTGACTGCCTCTCGTCGTCATAGCCACGGCGAATCCCGGGATGGAGCATGTAGTTGGGGTCATAACCTGCATCCAGCAATTCCTGATGGGAGTTTGGGGAAGAGGGACAATCAGTTACTGTTTAACAAACACCTGCAACTGTTCCTCAATATTAAAAATATATAGTTATTGTAAGGTGTGAAAGTTTTATACTTTTGTTTGTCATATGTGGCTGTAAACAAACCAAGTGTGAATTTATGCCGTCATGGAAGAAGTACTCAGATCTTTCACTTCAGTAAAAGAAACAATACAACATTTTACTTTAAAGGTCCAGTGTGTAACATTTAGGAGGCTCTATTGGCAGAAAGTGAATATAATATTATTAGGTATGTTTTCATTAGATGTATAATCACCTGAAAATGAGCCACCACTGTTTCTACAGTAGCCCAGAACAGACAAACCAAACACCGTAGTTTCTCCTACATTCTTGGAACGGGAGGTTGAGGCGAGGGGGTTGTAATATGCTACTACACTGCTGGAAGCCACTCAATCTTATACACACTACAACAGCACATTTTGTACATGTTATATTATTGGATTATAATAAATACCTAAACATGTCCACTGGAATAAAGTCACAAAAATACAATATTATCCTCATATTTGTATATAATATGATATCATTTACAGATCCATAGACCTGTGTACCACACTGGATCTTTCTGGATACAGGTCCTTTCTGTTCCACCTCTCATCATGGCTGATACACACACATACACACACACACACACACACACACACACACACACACACACACACACACACACACACAACAAACACAAACACAAACCTTGAGACAGTCTGCATGTCCTCCTGCAGCAGCAGAGTGTAGAGGACTCATCCCACTGTCGTTTACTTCTCCCACAGAAGTCACTGGAATCAGCAGCTTCAGAGCTCTGAGGAACACACACACACACACACACACACACACACACACACACACACACAGAAACCTCCACTTCATTGATCTGATGCTGTAGTTTTGATCTACTTTGCCAATGATGAGCTCATTCTCAGTTACTGCAGGTGTCCTCGGTGTGCCACGCGGTGGATCGGCATGTGTCCTGTGAGTTTGGGCACGTTCGGGTCGGCGCCGTATTCCAGCAACAGACTGATGACAGATGGATCTCCAGACGCAGACGCCTCGTACAACACGGATGCCTCATCCTCCGCCTGGGACAGGACGTCGGCCCCTGCAGGTCAAACAGCAAGAGGGAAAATATCCAGTTTATTTATCTAATGAAGCCTCATTAGAGCTGCAGCTCATTATAATACATTTTTACACAGGACGTTATATTAAAGATTAACCCCTGTCAGAGTTATATATTGTTACTGATGCATTGATGTCTGAGCAGCATTAGTTTAGTTTTATCACCTGATTATATAAATGTAACTATCAAATAAATGTAGTTGAGGAGAAAATACAACATTTGACAAATAAAGTGGAGTTTAAAGTATTAAACAGCAAAAGAAAATGCAAATATCAAAGACATAAGTACAATACTTGAGTAGATTTACTCTCCACCACTGAGGAACTGCAGGTGAGTATGTGAGTAATCTGGCTTTATGTTCAGGGTTGGAACAATACTACAAACTCGTCCTCAGTGCATTTGTTTTAGGGGAAAAAAACATTGATTCTATATTTTCTATTTATAGTGAATATGCTCTTTAAAAATATGCTGCAATTAAACATCAATCAAAGACAAGTCAGTAAAGGACACCAAGTATTAAAGATGCAAATACAATATTTATCTATAATAAAGATGAAGTTTCTATTAATAACAAACTTAAATGTGATTTTAAGAAAGCCTGATAAACAATGAT